AGCACAGTTTAAGGACAAGTAGCAGCCACAATCTATATGTGTGCTGTGCCTCTTTTCATTAGTTTGTTGTTGTGTCTCAGCTCCATACTACTAGTATACACTATAAACTGTATGTTGATACTGTATAATTTTGGAAGTTACAATTTAAAAATTTATTTTTGTGTTGCACAGTGAGAATCTGAGAGTGCATTGTTAGGGCAGCACATATTCTAACACATGCAATGCAGTTCCATGAAATACCTCCACAGGTGTACTAACTAAGAGTTCACACACTGACAACAATGGTTAATGTGTGGTTGATATATAGTAGTTGAACTTTCCCTGGATTTTTGAGGCAAAACAAAGGTGGCATTGAAACTGAAATTTTCACTGTCATGATTAACTGTTGTTATTAAAATAACAGTTCATCCCTCCACCCATTTCTGTCATTTCTGCCATACCTTTGTTGCATGTATTACCTGGACAGAAGATTCCATCTCCCTCATCATCAGACCACCCCACAATGCTTTGCATCTTCCTCAGCAGAACCTCCTCCATGAGGACAAAAACAGGAGACACTTCATATGTAAACCTGGTAAAGAAATGTATATTACATATTGTATATTATCATATAGTAAAGACAAAGAAATCACATTAAAGCTGGCCTCTTGTAAACATCTCATATTTAGTTTTCTGAAATTTAGTTGTATTAGAAAAACCCCTTTTTTCAAAATGTTCAGCAGTCAGTGGTCATTTTTTGTCGACTCTGGACTATTGCAAATATATCTTAAGAGCATCCCTTAAGCCCAGCATACACTGTGCAATTCTGAGCTGTCCCAGATGAAAGATGACTAACGTGAAAGGAACGTAGTGATATCTTTGGTTGTGGCTCTAAAATGGTGGTCCAATGTCACACATTGAGAGAGATTCAAGGATGGCCTCTGTCACAGTCTTCAAAGACATCAAAGACAGCCTGGGATAAAATTCTGACAGTGTCAGAAATTTGGGATGAACATCTCACTGTATGTGTGGCTTAGGACCTACGTCTACTAACTAACCAATAGAAGTGCAGCATGGAATAACACACTGGCGCTAAACCCAAACAAACAGATGAATAGCAGCTTGCCATGGAGGCAAAACATATTAAAATAAATGTGTGTGATTCCAGCAAAGAGGAAAACCTTGTGGAATTGTGGCAGCAGAAGCCTTGCCTGTATGATGTCTCCTCCAGCTCGTATCATGATCACAAAAAGAAGGACGGAGCATGGAAGGAAATAGCAGCAGAGTTGCAGCAGCCAGGTGAGCAGCCTAGCAGCTACCAAACACACACTCAGACACATCGCAGTATATAGTGCCCACAAAACTTTAGATTATTTAATAATGTGATCCTCTATGTTGTGCTTCACATTTGGAGAAGTAATATCCCGTGCAGCATCCTTGTACACTCAGTATGGGAAACTATTGCATTGTACATCGTAGCCTGTGATTCAGTAGGCTCTGTCATTGTACAGTCTGCATACATCAAACTTGATGTTGTACCCAAGGTTATTAGATCCATATTTCACTGTCTAGCTTGCATTAAACTTATAAGATTGCTAAAAGCTGGGAGTCTGGGAGGTTTATGATAAGTAAGGTAGTGTAAAGAATGCACCACTAAAGAGCTGAGTCCAGTGGCACATTTAAACCTGCACTTCTAGGAGGTTAATATGTAAAGAGCTAAAGTGACAGAGCACACAGAGCATGTGCAACAACTCAAGGAAGGAATCTGTGAACAATTCCCCTTCACTGTAGGAGGTAAGGTGTGGGTAAAAGTGTGGAATAAATGATGGAAAGTCACCCATTGTGAAAGCATATGCATCAAGCAGAGCACATTGCACACAATGTGGTACACTGAGGACCTAAAGGTGGAGACAGCCATTCTGGAAAAAGACTCTTGATATTTGAACTCAACACCCACTCAACACCCCTCCCATCAGTGCTCCTTCGGCAGCTTTAGTAATATTTCTTACAATCATGGCGTAGGTCCATTCCTCATGGGCAAAGACAAGGACATAAAAGAGAGAGACAGTAGCTGGCATAGTGTTGTATAACTCAGTCCAAGCCACTTGTCTCTCATTTACAGAGTCAGAGCTATGTATTAATGCCAGATTATTTTTTCAGCGCATGCACAGAAAAGACAGCTACAAACAGTACAAAAATACTTTTGTAAAAAGTACAATATCCCAAATGTAAACTACTTCATTACTTTCCACCACTGATGTTGAGACCTTACATGTTAGTGTTGGCTGTAGAGGTTAACCACTCGCCTGCTACACCGATCACATCCAGACCTGAAGATAGCTGGTTGAAGAAACGTGGATGGCCTGGAAAAACAAAAGTCAGAGGTCATAGGTCAGGAAATAGAGGGGGTGTACAATTGATGGGCTGCACAGGGGCTCATGCCTCATAAAGGCCCACAATGCAGGGTTGTTATTTTGTTTGCTTTTTGTAACTTAACTTGCTTCAAAGTGAATTTCCTGTCTGTCCTGTAACAATAATGATTACATTAAGAAAACTATATGTTTCTTCCCTACTGGTTTAAGATCCCAGATGTGGAGCTGAACCAACCTGATGGTTGAGCTGAACAGACTCTCCAGGCTCTCTACATTCATTTAACAGACACTGAAGTTTGATAACATGTTTGGATTCAATTTTGATCTGATTAAACTGTAAAATGGAAGATATTGATCTGCAGAGGTACTGCAAGACCTAAGCACTGAAGGTAAAAACATATACAGGACATAATTTCAGAAGCTGGAGACAATCACAGATATATGTCCAAAGGGAACAATTATAGCACTTCGAGCCCTTTTCCTCAAAAGCACTGGACAAATAACTGTGAGACTGTGGCATCTGTAGAGTTTAACTGTCAAAAGTTGAAACAAATCAAGAGCTAAGTGCGTACATCACTGTGACAGGACATGTTGTGTGAGCCCACTGTTGTATCCACTGAGGAAAATGTTGATGAATTACACAGATCTGGCAGCTCAATTTGAGGACAAGAAAGCAAGAAAAGTGACTTCCACATAATTAATTTAATGTATGGTGAGTCCGTCTCATTTGGATTACACAGCATGACAGGATTTCTTAGCTGCCATATTATATAACATGACAGTCAGAAAAAGAGATGAGTGAAACATATGTATTGCTGTATGGTGTTTTTTGCAAATGTTTGCAGGTTGAATTTGATGTAGTTTGTGTTTGTGTACATAATGCTTTTGGAGGGGCTTAATGCTGCTTAAGCTAAGCATACTGCTGAGTGGAATATTGTTGTAGCGTCTTATTGTGTGCACATTGTTAAGAAGTTGAAAACACATCACGTTGTTGTAATGTCAATCTCCATATAAAGCACTTAAATGCAATGCAAACTTAAAGCATTTTACTTCTTTGTACCCCTTCCTCGTTGATTCTGGATAGAGTAATAATTCTAAAGCTGTGAATAATTATATTTGGCAGATTTAGGGGCAGTAGTAGTAAATCATTTTTTTATATTCATTATTTCCTTAATTAATTATTTTGTTGTAAATTGAACTGTATCAATTTCACTTTACAGAACTAACTTTTCTGACAGATCATTAGTTTAGCTTCTGATTTTTGCGTGGCGTTTACCAAAGCTGGAAAGTATATATTGCAGTGCCTGAAAAGGTTCAATACCCACTGGTGCTGAGTACCAGCACTTCTGATTTTTGTCAACATGAGTACTCTTACTTCTCATTGTGAGCTGCCAGTTCCAAGTTATGTATGCACCCCTAAGCACTTGTGTGACTGGCTGCATCTCTGTGTAAACACATAACTTAACACTGAGAAAACAACACTGAGAGTCTCCCTGTTAAAATGGATGAGAAACACCAAAAGAAAAAAACAGGACCATACAGACACTTTACTTCCTGAGACCTGAGCTTTTGTGTGGTGTGCATTTACAATTCTCCTACCTATAGGACTTGAGACATGTAAAAAAAAAAAAAAAAAATTAAAACTAAGCAACTAAGCAGTCTTTGAAAAGTTAGTAGTTTTGGTGTGTAAAAAAGTCTGACAGCTGAACATTTTGTTCAAAAACAAAGACAAAAAATCAAAGACAAAAGACAAAAGAGCTGGTGGTGGATCTGAGGAGAACGAGGACACCAGCGACCCCAGTTTCCATCCTGGGGCATAACGTGGACATCGTAGAACACTACAAGTATCTGGGTGTGTTCATAGACAATAAACTGGACTGGACTAAGAACACTGAAGTCCTTTACAAGAAGGGACAGAGCAACATCTATTTTCTGAGGAGGCTCCGCTCCTTTAACATCTGCCAGACTATGCTGAGGATGTTTTATGAGTCTGTGGTGGCCAGTGCTATTCTGTTTCCTGTGGTGTGCTGGGGCAGCAGACTGAGAGTAGCCGATGCCAACAGACTCAACAAGCTGATCAGAAAGGCCAGTGACATTGTGGGGGTGGAGCTGGACACTTTGACAGCAGTGTCAGACAGGAGGATGCTGTCAAAGGTGCGGGCGATACTTCAGCATAGCTCTCACCCTCTCCACAACGCTCTGGTCGAACAGAGGAGCACCTTCAGCCAGAGACTGATTGCTCCTAAATGCACCACTGAGCGCCACAGGAAGTCATTCTTACCTGTGGCCATTAAACTGTACAACTCCTCCCTCTGATGATCGGACTCATTTGGCTATTTATAAAACAAAACAAACAATATAACTACTCATTCTCATTTCATTTATAAAGCTACAAACATTTCATTGTATATTGTATATATTTCAGATTGTCTACTTTACTGTTTTATTATTTATTTTTATTTTATTGTCTACTTTAATATTTTATTTTATTTTATTTTATTTTATTGTCTACTTTAATATTTTATTTTATTTTAATGTCTACTTTAATATTCTATTTTATTTATTTCATTGTCTATTTTAGTATTTTATTAATATCTTCATCTTAATCTCTTGTTTCCATTCATGCTGTATTTCTATTTCTACTTTGCACGGAGCATTGGAACAAAAACAATTTCCCCCCGGGGATTAATAAAGTATTCTGAATCTGAATCTGAAGACTACATTCAGTGCAACATTTGTTTTTGTAACTCTGTGGGTTAGGGGTCACTGTTCAAGTCTCAAATCAAGTCTGTTCAAAACTGGTAATTACACTGCCTGTAAATGGCTGTGCAAAAGCAAAATTGCCAAAAAAAAAAAAAAAAAAAAGCATCATACCTGAAAGCTTTGTGATTTGTTCATTTTGTAACTCTAGAATGACATCCTCTACTTTAATCAATGATTGTTCTTTTTGTCTCTGGGAACTGTCTCTCACACCCACTGGCCTGTGTGAAATGCTGTGATAATCCAAAATAGAGTCCCAGTGTCTTAAAATGAGTACTTCCTAATTAACAGCTTCTTAGCTTGTTACTGTTGTTAACATTGGTCAAATTTGTATGCCATGTTAAACTGCAAACATCATTTTGAATTAATTAACATGTTTCAACACTAAAATTTGTTAAGGTTTTGTACCTTGTCCACTTTTGTGTCTGGATTGGCTGTAGACTGACTTGGCAGAGATGGCTGCCACCTTGTTTTTACATGAATAAGTGTAGTGTGCTTTTGCTACCAGTAGATGGCACAAAAAAAGTGTCCACGAATGAGGACAAGCGGTGTATGCTAGGCAAAATAAAGTTTAAGGTGCAGCAAAGCTAAAATGTAATCTCTTCATATGAGGATACAGGGACGCAGGGGGTTCAGCAACTTACAAGGCCTCCATTCTGAATGCTACTGCAGCTGTAACTGTGTAGTTAGAAGCTAGCTGCAGTAAAAAATACTCAGAGGCTTTCAGTACTGGTTGCGGCACCAACAGTAAGCCTCTCCCTTCAGCTGCCTGCTACTGTGGTCAAAATTTGGGCACTGGTTGATTGAAAAGAAAAGCATACATTTTGTTGCTTTTGTACAGTATTCGTGTTTATAATGTCATTTTTGATCACTTTTCTGTATTCTTACACACACACACACACACACACACACACCTGTACTGACACCATACTTGAGTGTGTCTCTACAGTCCACTAGTATCTGCTCCAGAGTTTCTGGATGGTCGGGCAGGTCCAGACTGAAGCCCTCCAGTCCCTCCTTTAGCTGATGAGGGTGGTGGAAGTCTAGGACCTAAAAAAAGAAAGGAGTTGCTGCTGTTATTTGCCATTATTTTACAATTTAAGCTCATTTGCAGATAGAATAGTGCTCAGTTTGGCAGGCCACTGTGTGGGGATAGCTCCACGCTCGCAATGTCAAGTTCTGCAAGCATGGGAAAACATCTATACACATGCCCATAGATGTGGGTAATAAAAGCAGGTCGGCACAAATCTGGGGGCTGTGTGGGGCTGATTGCCTGTTTGCCAAGTTCTGTTGCCATCATTTGAGGCGGTTGTTGCTCAGGAGGCAGAGCGGGTCGTACAGTATTTGTAAGGTTGGCAGCATGTAGTGTTAAAGCACTCTGAGTGGATGGACGACTAGAAAATGCAATTCAAATTACCGAGTCTGTCATTTGCTCATAGCTAGCGGAAGTATTATTATTGTTGATAGTTTTAATGCTTTCTGCTCTGTCCTTTCAAACTCCTAGCAGCCTCTGCTGATTTCAAATATACATCTCATGAGATCTTGTGTGTTTTCTCTGACTGCCCCCCCACACACACAGGAGATACACTGTAAAATGTATTGGATCTCTCAATCCAAATCTGTTCTCTCACTGGATGTAGAGTAAATAAAAAGAACTCCTGGCACTCTGTGATCTGGGACAACATAACTGATGAAATATACATACCTACATGTATGTATCGGGCATCATGTGTCTTGCGCTTTCATCTGTTGTCTTTAGTTCCTTTTCATGTCTACCAGCAGTGCTCACTGACCCTGAATAACTGCTTCTGGAAGTGCATTGTCTTCTAATTAACTGTCTCTTTTTAAGTACTATGCTTTATTTTCATGCTTATATTTCCCTGTCAAGCAGATACACTGGACAGGCCTGAATGTCACTGAGCAGTGTTGAGATACTGTACAGGATATATTGTTGAGAGAAACAGTTTAGTACCTTGGAGCTCCTCTGAGTTGATTTGCTGATATAACTCAACAGGATGTTAAGTAGCTCCTGTAGAAATCCTCTGGTCATCTCCTCACCACCTGAAGCTGGGAGCAGGTCTGCGCGTGCGCACACACACACACACACACACACACACACACACACACACACACATTTCTTTCAAATGACAGTTGTCTGAAAATGGAATGCGTTTGCATGACCATATTTAGTTTACAGAAGCTTTACAAAGCTGGCAGGAAAGAAGATATATTACTCATACCGTTGAAACAGAATTAAAGTGTCATTTTACCATCTGGGTTTCACTGAAATCACTGTCTCCTAGAAATCATGTTCATATAATTCTTATCACCTGCAGCAAATATGTTTTAACAGCAATATAATGCCGCTCGCATTACATTGCTTTTCAGGAATGAGGAAACATTTTTAAGGTAAGCAAGTTGCAAAATGTTAGCTGGATGCAGGTTATTGAAACAGAATGGATTAAAAATGTGTGTAGAGAATTGCATCATATTTTCAACCTAATACTATGAGGAGACTACAGGTTGATCATCAAATTCTTTATTTAAATTTTGATTTTGTCTGTCATTACCTGTGCCAGCTGGCCTAATTTACTTTAAAGGAACAGTGTGTAAGATTTGGTGACATCTAGTGGTGAGGATTGAAGATTGCAACCAGATAAAACTTATTCCACGTGAACTTTCAGTTAGGATTCTTTTAGTGATCAGGAGGTTTTAACCAGGAGCCAACCTATTCACAGTGGCCTCTACCTCTCACAATCAAATGGACCAGTTGATTCAAACTAGTAAAAACACTAAAAGCTCTTTCACATTACAAATGATTGATGATGATGTTTCTTTTATGCAGCTTGGCTTGTCGCAGACGCGTCGCTAGCCCAGCACCTCGTTGCTGTCCGATGAAAAACACATATCTCCACTTTTGACAATTTTGACTTTCTACACGCTTTGATGAACACTTCTGACACCCAATGGAGGTATGTGTTGAATAGATGATGTAATAAAACGTCTTTCCATTGGTCATTTGGATACCCAACGCTAACGGTTGCTAGGGAATATTATGGACCTAATAACCTACCGGTAATTTAAAGTGATTTAAATTTTCAAAGTGGCCAAACAGTGGTACTCCAATTTTTGGGTTCTGTCACATGATGCCATTGGGCCCAAAAATACTTTTTCCCATTGACTTATATTGGGAAAGAGACATCTGTAAATCAGTGGATACATTTTTTTGAGCTTCACAACTCACGCAAAATGACTGGTTTCATTATCAAGATTTAATTCATTTGGTGTGATAACATTTGGAAAGCCTAAAAGAGCCACAAGGTGAAATTATTTCATCCCCAAGTTAGCAGGGATCTTAACCAGAAGTCAGCTGCTCGGCTGGTGGAAATTCGGGCTCCATAAGTGCGCCTGCTGTATGAGCCCAGATATGCAGAGGCAGCACCAATCAACCAGGTAATTTTATACCACAGATATGGACCATTTTTCACTTAGTGCCCCACTGAACAACTTTCACAGGAATGAATGGGACCCCGCTGCCAGTGCTGTACCTGCCATAGATGTAAAAAGAGAAGTGGATACAGCACTGGAGGCGAGGCCCCATTCATTCCAATAGAAGTTGCTCAGTGGCACATATGGCCAAAAACTGCCAGCTGCCGCATATAAAATTACCCGGATGATCAGTGCTGCTTACACATCATTGGGCTAATAGAGTAAGCATACTAGAGACTTCTGCTCATTCAAGCTGACTACTTCTGGTGTAGCCCTCCACTAATTTGGGTGGATAAAATCATTAAATCATGTGGCTCTTCTAGACTCTCCAAATATTATCAGACTGAATGAATTAAATTCTGAGAGTAAGACCTATAATTTTACAGGGGTTGTGACGCCTGGAAAAATGTATCCACTGATTTACAGTCGTCTCTGTCATAATGTAAGTCTATGGGCTTAATGGGATCATGTGACAGACCTAAAAATTATAATTCCACTGTTTGGCTACTTCCAGGCTATTGTTCATGCATCACTTGTCTACTGTAGAGCATTCATGACTATCCAGCTGTGTGACCTAAATGTCTGTAGGTAGCTTGAGCTACAGATTTATTTATAGTAGGTGTTTGAGGTACTATGTAACTATGTAGTACTCTGTTTTACCAACTACAGTATTAACATTTTCCAGCTTCTGTTATGTGACATGGCCCAAAATCATTTTAGATATGAGCCCAAAACTAGCATTTTATGACCCACTGAAGATGCATTAAGTTTGGTTTACAATCATCCTCTGGTTTGAGCCTCAATAACAGAACTGCTTAAAGACAGGAATGTTCACAACACCTTAACATGCTTAACATGATCAGTTTACAACTTGATTGGGTTTGTCAAGGAGCATGTGACAAATAGAAGCCTCTAGTCCTGACTGCCCCTCAGACCGTCAGGAGGACCAAATCTGGCACAACTCTGGACAACCTTAGCTCTCACCTTTGCTGTAGATGTTGCTGAAGTCAGCAGGTGTCTGCCGTCTGTGTCTGACTGCTGCTGAGTCGTCCTGCTGTTTGTCCCCCCCAGATGATTTATTGATGATTCTGTCTGAAAGCACAAATCATACGTTTGTCAGCAAATATGTCTTAGCTAAGTCTATGGGAACAATCATACTGTATCTGATCTGAATAAAATGATGTGTATTGTTGTGTATGGTGTGTGTTGTATTATTTGCCAGTGTCAAAGACAGATTTCCATTTTATGCAAATCTAATGGACAATAAAGTCATCTGAATCTGAACTGGTTGACAGCTTGTCTGCCAGACCTCAGTTTTAGGGCATATTATGTCAAAACTTTTTGGAACCAACAGAAATGTGCCCGTAGTACCAAGTATGGGAATTTGTCAAGTACAGAAAGTTGACATTAAGCGTCATACGTTGACTGCTTGTGTTCACATTTGTCTTAATTTTTTAATGAATAAAGGTTTTGCAGAGAAGTAACTTCTATATTCCTTCGAGAAAGGCATAAAAAAGGGAACAGTAAGGTGTGGAACAGTAAAAATTTTCTCCTCTAGCACACTGTTTGGCTAGGACTGCACACACTCTGGTACAACTCTACCAGTAATCACCTATTCACCATCGAGGGGGACCATTTTCAGTCGATATCATCTGTGTTTCAACCCTCCAGGGGCATTGTGGGGGAAGAAACTTGGAAATTTGAACAGCTAAACTGACCATTGTAGAGGTGGCATATGATTGAGATACGCACAAGAAAGGCACACAAACTATGACTTTTTTATGTCTTCTTTATGATATAATATGAGACTCTTTTTATGACATATTTTACCATGATGTGATTTGTTAGATACCACTGTACTTTCACTTTTTTATGACTTTTTAATGACTTACTATCAACATTGTTTAACAGTGCTAAATGGCTGAAGTGGCAGAGCATCATTCCTGTGCACTCTGGCAGCACTACACCCTTGCTCTGCTCTAAACACTCCAGCCTGTTCTTTTTTTGTTCCGGAAATGTTGCTTAAGCAGTGCTCAAACATTGACATAGTTTTCCAGCTTGAACATGACACACCTAAAAAAAAAAACAGCCTACACACAAAGGCATACTAGTCTGCTGCAGAGCCATGTACACAGCTCTGGCAATGAGAAAGGACTCTGTTGCCTATTTTTAGCAGGTTTACCCGTGTTTCAAAAACTGTGTACAGGGGCTAGATTTGGTGGAAAATGGGTATAGGATCACTGTCTGCAGTGGAAAAGCAAAAGAGATTTTCAATTTAGATTCCTCTGGGTACTGGAAATGCAGCTAATATGCAGCCATCGTACAGCAAACTTTGAAGACCTTTATTTCAAAATCACAGCTTGGTTACTGTGTTATGTGAATAATCATTATGTAATGTGACTGATTTTGCTTAATATTTGGTGTAAAAAACACAATACTGATATCATTAAAAAGCCAAAAATTCTCTCTTTCTAACACTTAATAAAACTAGATTTTTTATTGATAGATTGGAGGGGACATTTTCAGACACTTGCCAAGCTGCAATCCACTGTGCGAGAAAGACAAACAACAAAACCAAAGCTTGACATTATTGTGTTCTCAGCAGTTCTCATTGCTTTTTTTCCACCAGGAATAGTGCCATGATACGTGGTTATTTTTTTTACTGAGACATTGCTGCTATTCCAGCAGGGATCGTGCCCCAAAAACCAAGTATTTTAAACCAAAACATCATCTTTTCTGAACTATGACTGAGTGTTGTTTGTGCTTAAACCTAACCATACATTAGCCACAGCAGTGTTGAAACATCTGCTATATGATAATGTGCTAATGAAACATATCTGTGGTTTGTAGGCTGTACAGTGTCAACATTATTTTGGAGAGTGGGTTGAGCTAACAGTTCTTTTCATCATCAGTGAAACTCCTAACTATTTTCTCAATTATTTTTATTGGTTGTTATGTCCATAGCAAAAACATGGACTCTAGGTGATTTTTTCAAATGTCTGTTTTGTTCGATTGACAGTTTAAAACCCAAAGATGTTCAGCATACAGTGAGTGTGTTTAAATGGACATGAATACACCGTTTGTGATCAGGTTTTTGGAGTATCCTGTTTATGCATCTGAGCATGTAAACACCATATTCTGTTTATGAAAATCCTGAAGCTTGCTGGAGTACTCTGAAAGAAACCAGAATGTATACGAGAAATAAGAATAACCTAGTTCTTCAGTGCTCATGTGAACACTATATCCCAATTATGATCATAACCAGGATAAGCCCCATAAATGGGTTATCCATGTCCATGTAATCACACTCAGATTATAAAACAGAGGAAAACAGAAAATATGCATATTTGGAGAAGCCAGAACGAGCAAATGTTGGACATTTTTGCTTGAAAGATTACTCAAACAGATAAATCAATTGTGGAAATAGTTGTTAACTCAAGATGTCAGGGTAGTCTACTCTGACTTTCTGATGACCTTCACCTGTCCCACTGATCATCTGAGTCTTCCAAGGTTATTTCAAATCAAATATGCTGTCTGTCTGTCTGTCTGTTCTCTCTATCACTCTATCTTTCTATCAAGGGCACATCAAGGGCATTAGTGGTCAGGATATTTATCTCTTAAACACTTTGCATATTATTCAAATGGATAGAAGTACAATATTTTAATGATCAGCCACCAATGCTGCTTACTATAGTATGAACTGAAGTTAAAGTACATTGAAATTTAAATTACTTTTTTTTTTTACTTTAAATTAAATTTCTCATAAAGTAATTTTCTTTTTCTCTTTTTTTTTTTTTTTTTTTTTACAAATGTGTGTGGGGTGGGTGGATACTGCAGAACATTTCTGAATTCAATGACAGTGTTGATATTTTATAATATTTTAGAAAGTTTAAAGTCACTGTCGAACTGTTGGGAAATGAGCTGCTGTTCATAATGTCTGCAGTGATTTCATTACTTCACTGTTTTCACTGAGGTGTAATTTCTGTCTGATAAAATAATTGTAAGCATCAAACACGTATAAACATCAAGTGACTACATGATTGCATTTACAAGGCTGTTTCCACTGTGCATTTGAAATCTGTTCCTTCTGGCACTTCCACTTTAGCTGGAATTCTAACTGCTGTCATTGCTTACACTGGAACTGACAATCAACTACTTTTCATTTTGTAGTTTAATGAGAGATTAACTGCCTTCAGAGCTAATATTTGACACTTCATCTCTCCATATATTTCAACTTCAATTCTCAAACTTAATTCTAATTCTTTTTTTTTTTTTTTACTTTATTTTATATTGTATTTTTACTGCTTCATTATTCCAGGTTGTTGAAGACATGCTTTCAAACAGCAGAGCTGTTATGCATTATACAGTTCATCTAAAGGCTTAAATCACTGCACAGTTCTGGTTAATTCACATTTACACTTTACTGTGTATTATACAGAGTCATCACTCTTACCTGGCAGCTGTAAGAAATCCATATCAATACAAATCAGTTCTTCAAAGATGGTTCACAGCAATTTAGTTGACTTCCACTATAACTACTCTTTTGATTTCATTGAATCCTCTTTGCTAGAAATACTCTCTGTAGGTAAACCTGGCAGCCTGATAGTTGCTTAGAAGCCTCCGACAGTAATTCATCCAATCTGAGAAAACAGACAGTGCAGTGTCAGGCTTCTGCATTTAAAGGACAGCAGGTAAAGGGAGGTGTGGTCTGCAGCCAGCTTTTGTCCCTGAATAGCAGAAAGCAAAGAACACCTGATGCTTTAGTTATGTATTATGGTGCCATGCCAAGCTATGAGTGTTTCTCCAGCTCAGTGTACAGTGTTATGTGGAGGTCCACCCAAATAATACAAGAAAAATAACACCAAAAACAAAAACATATTTTCTCACTTTTCCTTTGTTCTATCCAGCAGTGCATAAAGTTAGCTGGACCAGACTTTGAGGTATTCCTCCGACAGTTTTCTGCCTCTATTCCCATACAATGGAAGAGAAAAGCATTTTGCTGGTGTTTTTCACAGCAGTGAACATTTTGATATTTAAGCATTCACATTTTTTTAAGATATTTTTAGGGCATTTTTGCCTTTAATTGACAGGACAGTGAAGTGTAAAGGGGGGAGAGGGAGAGACATGCAGCAAAAGGCCACAGGCTGGACTCAAACCTGGGCCGCTGCGGCAACAGCCTTGTACATGGGACGCCTGCTCTACCACTAAGCCACCAACACCCCAGCATTCACATTTTTAAAAAGTCAGTGTTTATGTGTCTTTTCACCCTGTTATGCTGGATAATACACTGTGTCCATATACTCAGCACAAAGTCAAACATGTTCTCAGTGGATTTTGTCCCTTATCATTGATTCTGTTTGTGATATTCATAGACAGGATCTCTAGGTGCAGCCAGGATAATTTTAGTGTTCCGTTTGGGGACCTCAGAATTGCATCTCTGCTTTTTGCAGATGATGTGGTTCTGTTGGCCTCATGACCGTCACCTTCAGCATGCACTGGGGCAGTTTGCAGCCCAGTGTGAAGCAGCCAGGATGAAAGTAGCTACCTCCAAGTCTGACGCCATGGTTCTCTGCCAGAATGCAATGGATTGCCCACTCTGTTTTGGGACAGAGTTGCTGCTCATAGCGAAGGAGTTCATGTATCTCAGGGTCTTGTTCATTAGTGAGGGTGGGATGGAGCATGAGATGAATATGTGGTTTGGTGCTGCGTCTGGCAAGGCGCAAGGCAAAGCTTTTGATTTACCAGTCCATCCATGTTCCAACCCTCACCTATGGTCATAAGCTTTAGGTACTCACCAAAAGAGTGAGATCATGGATACAAGCTGCTGAAATTTGTTTCCTCCATAGGGTGGCTGGTCTCAGCCTTAAAGATATGGTAAGGAGCTCTGACATCCAGAGGAAATTCGAAGTGAAACTGTTGCTCCTTTGTGTCAAAGGGGTGAGTTAGGTGGTTCAGGCATCTGATCAGGATACCTCCTGGGTGCCTCATATTTGAGGTTTTCCAGGCATGTCCAACTGGTAAGAGGCCCCAGGACAGAGCCAGAACATTCTGGTTGGATTACATATCTCCTTTTGCCTAGCCTGGTTCCAGACCATAGACCCCGCCCACTCAACTGAGTAGGCTTGCATCTCTAGTCTGGCATACTTCAATGAATTTGCGATTTATCTCGTCCAAATGATGGACGGACCAATGAACACTGGGGGTCTAGCGATTAGCCAATCAGCGCCACGTTGATGTCAAGCTGTATGCCGGTGGGTAACTGGTGAGGATAGCAACAATGGCGACCGCTACAGATCCTACAGACCACATTGACGATGCTATTGAGGTATTTCGCCACTACTCGCGTTAATGGAGGACCAAATTAAGGAAGCTGCTAAACTGGATTTAACGGCGATGCAGCTGGGCGTGCACGACGACGGAGACATTTTAAACGGGCAATGCTCGCTTGTTTTCGGCACCCCCGAGGCATGGATACTAATGACGTCAGATTCTGGGTGAGTCGTTGATCTCTACTGATTGGTTAGGGAAAAAATCAAATTCCCTCCCCCTTGTAAATCACCTTCAATGGAAGCCATGTCAGACTGAAGGTTCTGGGAGCTTCAGTCTGACACTCAGGCTACCTTTTGCCTTTAAACACCTCGGGATCCCTCAGGAGGAGCATGAAAACGTTGCTGGGGAGAGGGACATCTGGAGTACTTTGCTCTGCATGCTGTCCCACAACTCCACTGAATAAGAGGATGAAAATGGATGGAGATAATTCAGATTTATGTTTTTTGCAGTTTTGCTGAAGTAAAACTTTAAGCAGAGGTTTCAAAACTTTTTATAGGGGCCACATGGAGAGGAAACAGTATAACCATGGGCCATGTGTATTTTCATTTAAAATTTTATTTTAATCACTTTGTGCTGTACATGTGAATCTGCAGTAAGATTATTATATAAGGTTATCTTTATACCTGCTGATGTGTATTACAGACTCTGATGGTTAAAATTGAAATTCATTGGGATTTTTTTTATTTATTTTTTTTCATTCGAGAGAGTGAAAGGGACCTGAGTTGCAGAGACATCTACATAAATCACTCAGGATTGCTCACTTCAACAAGGTTGTAAACTTCAGTGTTGTCACTCTGGATCCTGATGTTTTTAATCTCTCTGTGCATCTGTCCCAACAAGTAGCTGTGAAGCTAATTTACTCCACTGATAATGTTTATTGCATACTCATTGGCTGAAAATGAATAATGATAGGACCACCTCTTCAGTAACAGTAGTTAAAGGTGAGAGGCTTTAAAAGTACCCCTGATGAGTCACACGTGGGTGTTGATGAGTGTCAGTGTTCATGTCTGGAGTGCATTTTTGTGATCTGAGCAATAACAAAGAAGGAGCCTATGGGGAGATGAAGTGACAACCAGCCGCCTTCTAGTTGCAGATAAAACAACAACAACAATAATAATTACAATAATAATAGTAATAACTTTGATATTTCATATTTATTTCGAATTGCAAAAAGAAAAGACATGAGCATACCAACAAGCAGACAGACAGAAAGAAAGTAGTATTTACAAATAATGAAAAGCTTCATGAAAAGCAATTGTTAGTTTATAGTTACTTTGATTTACACATTTGAAAAGGAGTGGAAGTGTAAACTTATTAAATCCCACCCCTTCTCCATAATTGAGTCATGAGTGAAATGAAACAGGCAACTTCCTCACATAGATAAACCTATACCTAACATTTTATACTAAATATACCATTGTTATTACCTTTTAACTTTGTCTCACAAAAACAACCCATACAACAGTAATTACCAAATATATATCTTATGAAAATCTATCTATGAATTACCATATTATGAATTACAAGTATGACATGACTTACAAGTATAAACCAGTCTAAATGTATGATGTATATAATACCAATTGCCTTTGCCTTACAAAAGAAATATTAATATGAAAACAACATATATATCTTCATCAACTTGTCCTGTTATCTTTTAATATTTCAATAAGTGAACATGTGAATTACACAAAGTATGAATTACACTAATACATGCGTGTACACTATTACCCATAAATGAATAAATACTTATTAACATATTAATATATTGTTAATTAGCCCTGCGATGGTCTTGACCTGCTTCACTTTGTTTAAAACTAAAATGCTTGTTGACAGTTTAGTGTGTACGTGTTTGATGTATGACTTTCAGCTGATTTTCTCATTGTCACTCCAAGAAATTTGATTTCATGCACCTTTCATGCAACACCTTTCAATGTTTACCCCATACCTGAATCTGTATTTGTGTGTTTCACCCACAGTTATCAAATAACATTATTTAGTTTTGTTCAAGTTTAATGATAATTTGTTTCTATAAAACCAAATTTTTAACTTACACATTTCTCTACTAATATCCCTTAACATTTGAGGCAAATTCTCTCTAGAGCAGAAAATATTTGTATCATCAGCAAACGATACCAGTTTCAAAACATTGGATACTTTACATATGTCTTCAACATAAAGGATAAACAATTTAGGGCCCAACACTGACCCCTGAGGGACACTACAAGTAATGTCCAAACATGATAGAACTCTCCCAGCACAAATTGCTGTCTTCTACTTAAATAACATTTATGTTCATGTTGTTCCAGTTTATTGATTAATATGTCATGGTTGATTGTATCCAAAGCTTTTTTATGGTCGATAAATACGTCAGCTGCATATTTTTTTGTGATCTATAGAGTTTGAAAATTCTTCAGTTGATTCTATTAATGCAAGTGTTGATCTGAATCCATCTTGGCTGTCAGTGAGCAACTTGTGCTTTTCTATGAATTTGTCTAATCTGCCATTAAAGACTTTTTCTAGAATTTTGGAGAATTGTGGAAGTAAAGAGACAGGTCTGTAATTTGTGAAGTCATGTTAGTTCCCAGTTTAGTAGAGCGGTATGACTAGCTATTTTCTTTTTTTTTTTTTTTTTTTGGAAATGAACCGGTGTGGAATGATAAGTTGCAGATGTATGTTAATGGTTTTGAAATCCCGTCAATAATCTTTTTCATTAATGTCATATCAGTTTCATTATAATCAGAAGAACTTTTGTTTTATACATTTTTTTAACAATATCCAGTGTTTCTCTCTCATCCACTTCTGTAAGAAACATAGAGCTGGGATTTCTATCCATCAGCTTATCATTCCCTTCTTCAGATGTCCCTGGATTTCCCCTGTGAGCTCAGGTCCAGCACTTACAAAGAATTTATTAAAACTCTTAACCACATCATTCATATTATAAACTTCCTTATTATTATCAACGAAATACTGAGGATAATTCATTTGTCTATATCCATTTTTTTTAATAATGTTAGGTATGTCCAATATTCCTCTAATATTGTTTTTATTATCATTTAATAATTTCTAATAGTATTCTTTCTTGCTTGTTCTCATAACATTAGTTGGGCTTATTTTTATATTAATTTGCCTCTTTAGTTTTGTGTTTTATAAAATCTCTTGAGTGAGTGATCGTTTTGCTGTCATTGTGTTGCACATTATAAAGTGATGGGGCAAGTAAAGAGGGGCTTTGTGATTACAAATCAAAAGGGATTTAGGAAAGGCAGGACCGCAATGGACCC